GCTTACTTGAAGGAGACATAAGTGTATTGATCTTGCTTACACCACTAGCCGTTTACCCATTTTTTGCTCCACTATAAAAAGGGGTAATCCAGAGGACTTGAATTCAAAGTTAATTATGAGTACTACTTATTTTTAGAAGATGCACGACAAGTATTTGCATCTGACGGCCGTCAACCATTCATAGTTCCGCTGCAAGAGACTACTCAACGATATCGCGAGATGAAAGGGATGAATCCAGGACTGGGAAATTTGTGAGTCACCGACTTTGTAACTTTTGCGCATTTCAAGCATTATTCTTCTCCAGAAACGGCGATGAATGGTATCGATTACGGTCATCAATTCAACAAGTGATGATGAGACCACAAGCTGTACAGAAGTAGAAATGCTAATTCCTTCTTTCCTTTTATTTTCTCTACCGTGTCGTTTAAGATATTTACCGTATACCAATGAGGTGGCTGCTGCTTTGGTAGATCACATAGGAGAAGAAAGAAAGAGATATAATGGGGAGGTTGACATGCGAAAAGTTGCTGGAAGGTGAGCTTCATTCATGCATTCATGCATTTGTTCGTTCATTCATTCATCCTCTTGCAGATGGGCGCTCGAGTCAGCAGCGTTAACAGTTTTCGAAAAAAGACTTGGAGCTCTTGGAGATCGTATCGATTGGGCCGATATGCTCGTAAATCTTAACAAATCCATATTCCAGCTATCAGCCCAGTAGGTCAATCGCCAAAGACGAAGAGCAGGATTCTGCTTGTAATTTCTTTATTGTGCAAAAGGATATAAATTCTAGGCTAAGGTTTGCATTTCCATTCTATAAATACTTCTCCACGCCAAAATGGAAGAAAATGGTAAAACTTGAGGACAAATTTTACAGGTAAACAATCTTATTCGATAAGCAGAAAGCAAGTAAACTAATTTTGAAAAATTTAGAGAAGCAAATTTGTTGATCGAGGAAGCCATACAGAAACTGCGCGGTACATCTCAGACAGAGGAAGAGATGAAGTTTGCTAGTCTGCTGATTAATCGGAAGGAGTTGAATGACAAAGATGTTGCCATCATTCTTTTGTCAATGTTTTCAGATGGTTTAAGCACTGTGAGTACGGTCTTCCCCATACCGATATTGAAAAAAATTTAATAAAAGTATTTTTAGACCGCTCCTATGCTGATCTACAATCTCTTCAATATCGCTTCCAATCGAGAAGCTCAGGATAAACTTAGACAAGAAGTAAATACTGCTGTCGATCGAGATAAAGGTGATTTAAACAATTCAAAATTCACTACTTAAGCGGTTTTCATGATGACAATCGTTTATTGTACGAATTTTTGCGTAAAGGCTGAGAAACCTTAACAGAAAAATGTTTGTATCCAA